TGTGGAAAGTCTGCAAGTATTCTTGCACACTTATGTGAAAAATCAAATTAAGAAAAGTATATATTTGTGAGATTTATAGTATATATTCTTTGATGCAAAAGGAAATTTGTGAAACTGTTTTGCCACTTGATATATATAGTATATGATAATACATATGCATGTATATTTTCAAATGCACAAGAAATGTCTTCTCAGGAGAGGGATTGAGATTGGAGAATGTGAGGAGATGGAAATTTTTCATATTTTTATATTATTTCTTTCATATGATTTATCATTTCATTTCTCTAAACTATTTCAGTCTAAGAAAATATAATGTAAGCCAAATACGTGATTTTAAATTTTTAATAGTCACATTTAAAAAATGAAGGTGAAATTTAGCTTAAAATATATATACATGTGTATTATTTAACCTAGCATAACAAAAGTATTATCATCTGAGTACGTAATCAATACAAAATCATTTAGATATTGGGCATGAATGTTTTTCCTGTGGGAATTTGTAAAATCTACTGTGTCCTGTACACTTCCATCCATTTCAGATGTTTAGTAATGGCACACGACAAGCAGCTACCAGAATGGATGATGCCATTTTGCACTGCTTCTATTACTATATATTTTTATAATGAAATGCAAGTATACACTAAAAATGGTTATGTGCAAGGAAACTAACTAACTTTCTGGACCACCCTCTCTATTTCTTTCCATTGATTAGAATATCTCTGAATCACATCCCTTTCTCATTCAGTGATCTCATTAAGTTAATTGAAGCAGATCACTTTCTCATCAAGGTCTAAACCACCTTGATTCCAAATAGCAGCAACTCTTTTAATCTCTTTCAACTTAAGTGCCCGATCCAAGAAGCATGCACAGTGCTCATTAATACTGATAAATATTAAAGAAGGAAATAAATCACAGTGCCAGTGCTTTGAAAGTAGCACAGAATATTGAAAACAAACACAATGAACTCTGGAAAGCGGAAGGCAAATTGCAGTGTCACCGGCAAACACAGTCCTAGAGCACAGGGAAGGAAATGTGACGGTCCCGAGCTGAGAAGGAAAGCTGGACATGGGCAGAACCTGGACCAGAAAGAGTCAGAACAACTGACAGGACTGAATGATGAGCAACCCTTCCGCACTTCCGGAAGAGACAGTTAATCGCGCTGCCGATAGAAGAACTTGATGTCCTACACCGAATGTTAAACAAGAGCAAGTGCTACTTTCATTTGTTTTCACTTTCTGCGAATTTAGCCACTGGCAGAAAAAGTCACTAAAACTAGGAAACATGCTCCCGTTGAGACTATTTGCCTAGGTGCCCAGAGCAGTCCCATCCTGCTGCTTTGTAACAAACAGCCGCCACCTTCTTTCTAATAAATGCCTCCTTCTACTGCAGCAGTGGTGGAAAGCCAAGGGAAAAAAAGTGGAGACTCATTCTGTAAACTGATTTGACTTTACTCACTTTGTTCCAAACCCAAAGCTCTGTCATTATCCTGAAGACCTGGTGAAAAAGAATTTCACTTCCTCATAGGCTCCGCATTGTAAGGCTCAGGCCTACTTCTGTAAAAAACCCATTTGGTGCAGAAATTAGGCATAGATACCTCTTCCGGCCACTGTACACACTCACAATATATCCAGTGAACACACACTCATATACTCATACCACACAATACAGGGACACACAACAAACACAGAAACACTATACACTTAGCTGTGACAACCCTAGAATACTAAATATGAAACTATTTGCTGTGGTTTTTAATGAGTTTCACTTCTATTTATAAATTTAAGATGAAAGTTTGTCAGTGTGTTAAACAAATTTTTAAAAAGTCTAAGTCTAGTGTTTGTGCTTCTTTATTTTTCTGTCATTAATATTTTCCATAGGTTTTTAGTTTTCCTATGCTGCTAACCTAGTTGATTATATTTTAAACATAGCCATCAGGAAGAGGAAGAAACTACATATATCCCTCAAGAACACCAACAAAACTTAGCCTAATAGTGTTTTCTTTAGTAACTACCTTTTTAACACTTATACCACAGATAAGAAATATACATAACATATATAAAACAGCAAAATAAATACAACTGTGTAAGTATATGTGATACATGTAATACATGCATGTACTACACATGCATTACATATATTGCATATATAATCATGAAACAAGTTCTCAGTCAACTTCGAATGCTGATGACCTGAAAGCATTTCTTTCTTTCTCTCTTTTGGAGTAGGGGAGGTGAGATGGACCCGTTCTCAACCTGCACATCAAAAACTTCTTTCAAGTGATTTTGGCAACATTAGCCCATGTTCCTATGCAACAAATACTTGACCTTCTTGAAATAGTCTACCTTATTTAAGAACACAACAAGGCCCACAAAAGTACAACACAAGCAATGTAAGAGCACCGTGTGATTGACATGACATTTTTACACACTGACGTTGAAATGTGACCTGCGTCAGCTTTGAAGGAATATTTTGCACACGGTGGTTTGTTGTTTTCATCAGTATTTCTCTTTGGGTCCTCAAAAGACCCAGCTGAAACATGGGCTCTTCTTCTTCTGACAGACACTGTAAAAATGCCTGTGCCTGGAAGGATGATTTCATCGATACATTGGTATGTCAACTCCACTGTACCATCCACAAAGGCTATTTCCCCCACCTATTTCCTTGTCACTCCTTTACATCTTGACCACGTTGTCTGCTGTAGTAGGGTAGATATAGAGTCACATAATGAGTGATCAGGTCCAAGGAACTGGACCTTCTGTTTGCATAGCTATGACGGCATCTATGCTAGTAGATGAAGGTGGATTGGAAATTTCCTGCTTTTTACCAGCAATTTACACTGGATTAATATTTCATATCTACATGTATTTTTGATGTTTAGGTGATACACTGAATCATGCAGAAGTCTTTCATGCATCTGGGAGGTTTCTGTGAAAAAGTTTAAAAGACTTTAGAGAACTCACTAGTGTCATACTTTTATTCAAAGAAAATAGATTTTATACATGAGAAATGCAAGTGTACTTCAAGATTATCTTCCCTGGAATCAAAGACTGGTAAACTCAGTAGGAAGGAGATAAAGGAGTCATCAAAATCAGCTCAGCAGGCCCATTCTCAGAAATACCACTTCTATTCTGAGTTTTGTGAGCTCTGTCAAGGAAAAGGGCAGAATCTGTGTACTAGATCACTGTACAATGGCAGGAAACTCCAAATTAACTTAGGTCCGACAACTGTTATTAATCAAAACATTAATCCATTGTTACGGCTTGTGTCTAGATGTACCCCCAGAGCCTCATGCAGACATAGTGGAGGCTTTTGGGAGGTGGCTGAATCTAGAGTGTGTGATGCTGGGGTTAAAGATGTGATGCTGGGATTAAGGTTACCCCACATTGGGTGTAAGGTGGCCTGGGTAGAATACAATGGACAGAAAGATGGCAACTGCCTTCACTTGCTGTTTGCTTCTTCTGTGTTTTGCTGCCGTCTTTCTGCCATAGGCTGTTTCTCCTCTGCAGTGCTCCTCTGCCATGCCACCCTCCCTTGGAGCCAGCTGATTATAGACTAAAACCTCTACAAACTGTGAGCTATGATAAACTTTTCCTCCTCTGACTTTGGGTATTGGGTATTTTGCCTCAGCAATGAGAAAAAAATTAAGACATACATTCAGGACAATAGCAATTAAATAGACATTATTGCCCCCTCAATGTTTCTCTATATTCATGTGTTGATGTTACATTGAATACACACACACACACACACACACACACATTTAAGCTTAATAGACTTGGCTTAAAAAGCATGGGTAGCATCAAAAGAGCAAAGCCAAGATAATCATGTGGATCCTAAAAACAAAAATTATAGTATTTATGTCTTACTGTTCAACAATGACAATGCAGTTAAAAATGAACCAAGAATCTAAATAGAGGTTTCCCCAAAGATTATATAGAAATGACCACCAAGCTTATGGAAAGATTCTAAACATCATCATTCATTAGAGAAATGTAAATCAAAATCACTAGGAAATATCACTTCACACCCATTAACCTGGTTACAATTAAAAAGTAAAAAGTACTGTCAAGGATCTTGAAAAATTACTCCAGGAGAATTGCTGGTAACAATGCAGCACATTAAAACCACTTTGAGAAACAGTTTGGCAGTTCTTCAAAGAGAGAAAGGTAGAGTTACCATATAACCTAGCAATATCACTCCTAATATGTATACAAAAGAAATGAAAATGTACTCTACTCCGCTGTTGTACACAAATATCCATAGCAGCATTGCTCATAATAGCCAAGAAGTGAAAACAACTCAAATGTCTATTAACAATGAATGGATTACCAAGGTGCACTGCATCCATACAATGGAATATATTTCAGCAATCAAAAGGAGTAAATACTTATACACCTTCCACAGGGGTGAGCCTGGAAAATGCTCAGTGAAAGAGATAGGTCACTAAAAGTCACATATTATAGGATCCCATTTAGAGGTTATGTTCAGAACAGGCAAATCTATACCAATCAGAAGTTGATTAGTAATTGTCTGAGACTTGGGGTGGGGGAAAAGAACATGTATTTTCCTTTTGCGGGAGATAAAAACTGTTCTATAATTTGTGGTGATTGTACAACTGTGTGAATATTCTACAAAATACTGAATTGTACACTTCCAGCGAATGAGATGGTGCAGTAATTGTATGCCAGTGAAACTATTTGAAGAAAATAGAGCTACAAGGAACAAAGGGATTCATTAGCACATCTTTGCTTAAACTTCTAGTAAGCAGAAAAGCTGGGAACTGCCTCAACGTTTGTCCATGTGCAAAGTCTATACTCTTTCCACTCCAAATTGCTTAGGATATTTTCTAATCTGAGTAAAAAATAGTCTATTAGCAGGCACATTTTGAAGAAAAAGATGGAAAGGACAAGTTGACATTGCTTTGCTTACACATCAGAGGGCTTTTCCTTCAGAGCATAGATTCCCTTTATTGAAGTCTCATACTGTGTATTTATTGGCAGAGGGAACCATGACACAATGACGCACAGAAATCACGTGGGCAACTTTCGAGGGAGCAGAAGCTGGTGTCAGCTCTGAAAAGCACTATGATGTAAGCGGACTCTGTGCTAATAGTTATCAAGCCCTGCTTCCCACCCTTTGCCTCTCCTTCTGGCAGAATGTCTGCCTACTTCAAATCTGGTGCCAGGATGCTGCTTGCTCTTCCCTCTTTGACCTGTTGCCATCTGCAATCCACCACAGGCCCTGTCTGAGAGTCAGCAGTCAGGAGAGCATCCAGACAGACCAGGGCAAAGTGGACAGCGTCTCCATCCCCAAACATCATGGAATGAAAAGGGGAAAGCCTTTCCACAAAGGAACTGCAGCTCTAAGAGAGACTCAGCCAGAGAAAAGAGACGATACATAGCAGGTTTGCTTCCTAAAGTCTGTCCTCAAAATCCAGAGCATAGCCTTTGCATCAGATTAGCCATGCCTACTTCCCCTTATAGTCAGTCCAGTTCCCACTTTTTCTTTTGCTTGGAGTTGTGTGAGTGAGCTGCTGGCTTTTTAAATGCTTTCAAAGTAGTATGTCATAAAAATGTACTTTCCTTGAAATAAAATAGAAATATGAGCAGTAAATAAATGAGGTAGCATAACCAGGAAGCTTAAAAGTGCACATGGGATACAAATCCATACCACCACACAGTGGAAATGATTGAGTTTCCTGATCATTCTGCCAAAATACCAGAAATTTTCATTTTCTTCTACAAAATGCTACAGTAGATGATGATGTTTTCTGGGTGCACCCTTGTTCCCCATTTGCCCTGTGCAGAACTGAAAATTTCTGTACTAGAAAAATGGATGGCCTCCTGTCTAGAGGACCTTTCTGGGGGCGGTAAACATATCACATATATGGAGGGAGGTCACATTAATATGTACAGGATACTCAATCAAAAAGCAACTCCATGGACTGTGGTTGGGCAATTCCTTCTAAAGCACAAATGGCCAGGCTGGAAATTGATACCCGGACAGAGTGTGGCTTGCACTATGTTGCTTTCTGCAGAAACTATACCTTCAAGAGCTCTAGAAACTCCAAAAGAAGGATTTGGATTAACAATTGCATTTTAATTAGGAACAATAAATATTTAACTACATATTAATGTCATAAATTATACACAATTTTACATGATACATATTCTATACTCTGTATATATATATATATTATTTCAATAGATAACTGCACAATACATAATTGTACCAACTTGTACAATTATATAGAGAAATACACAAATATATTCACTTAAAATAAATAAAATTTCTAACCAGCTTCTTAGTTATAAGAGGATCAATTATGCTGACAAATGTACAAAAGCTACCTGAACACTTCTTTGAGATTTCTGCATCTGTCTGGCACACAGGGCTGAAATCCTCACATTTTCTTCTTTTTGAACTATGCTTAAGGCCAGTTTCTTTGGTCTATTAACTGACTTGTAGAAAGGAAGAGTAAATTGTCCTTGACTGTACAAACACTCCTGACTTTTTTTCCATGAATACAAATGGAAGATTTTTAAAGCTTGGCAGTTTGCAAAGACATGACTCCCAAGACAAATTAAAGATCACAAAAACTTTCTTTTTTTTGTTATTTAAACCTTGTTTGGGGAGGAGGTTGTAATTAGGATTCTGACACTGTTTGGCAATCTTAGGCAAGCCACATAATCTCCCTGGGCACATTATTTTTCATTAATTAAAAAAGTGTGAATTTGATGTAGGAAGGATAAATAGATGACCTCAAATACTTCAGGAGTCTCAACAATTGAGAGTTTCATAATTTAATATGCATGGAATTCATACTCTTCACCTTTTCCCAGACTTTTCACAGACATTCTTGCCATATGCTCCCTCTGTGTTCTGTGCAATGATCCATTTGTAGCAATTATTTGATTGTATTGGAATTTTGTTTTGTGCATTTACCATCCCTGTAACTTGTTAACCTACAACCAAGTTCTGAATCTCCTGTGGGTTTTTCATTTTCACATACTAAGTTTCAAAATTGCACAAAGCAATCCTAAATGTGGAAATCCTAAATGAACTGAAGTAATCAATGACTTAATAGCATTAAGTAGTTAAAACTATAGTTACTTGTGGTATTTTAGAAAAAAATTCATATCGAGTCTGGTCTTCCCAATAGGCAGTCCCTGGGGAAAATTTTCTGAGAGGCCTCTTCAAAGTTTTCTACCTTACCAGGACAACATTAAATCCCTAGAATTCTCCAACATGTTAGTCCAGATGTTACTTAATAGACATTGGTCTTCAAGTATAACTTGTAAGAATGCAAATATCTTTGCAGAGTAGAAGGCAATTAAAGGTGTTAAGAGGGGAACGAAAACTGTAATGACTTGGACAAAGAGTTGTGGACAAGACAAAACAGAGAATAGAATTATTCTCTCTTTCTTCATGTCTACAGTATGCCAAATATATACTAGAGCCTAGCCCACATAAATGTTGAGGGGTAGTGGGAATATACATTATTAAGCCAGAGATTCCGGCACAGAACAATCACTGCTGGACTAGGTAAGCCTAGAGAAGTCCCTCAGAGGGGCCAGAGAAAGCAATAACAATTCTGGGGGGAACTGAAGGACCCATAAAAGATTATAAAATGAAGAGATGTGGAGAAAGTGGTCCATCCACAGACAAAAGTGTCTCTTTAGAGAGTGAGGTACATCTAAAAATATAAGATCCATGTTGTGAGGCTCAGTATATTGTGGGCGGGCGGATGGGGAGGGATGTGTGGGGACAAGCTGAGATGTTTCCTGTAGGCCCTCATAACCACTGTGAAGGATTGCAGGGCACAACACATTCTTAGGGTCAAACAGAATTCCCTCTAGGGTGTTAGAGGAGTGACTGACCTGGTATGGATTTTTGCCAATCCCCTATGGATTCCAGGCAAAGAGAAAAGTTCCTGGGACAGGAACAGCCAAGAGTACCAACTAAAAATTTTTTTCCAGAATCAAGTAAAAGATGAAAGTGTCCTGGATTATGTTAGTACCCAGGGTAGCAGAGAAAAGTGGAAATATTTGGGAGGCAGGGGCACCAGGACTCACAGATTCATGTAACTTGGAGGTAAAGAAGGAAGAGTTGAGACTGAGTTACAGACTTGGGACACTGAGTGGGTTTTAATGCTGCTATTTTTTGAAGTGGGGAATAAGAAAGGGAAAGGAAGTTTCTGAGGGACTCTGATAAATTATGTTTTTAACATGTCAACCACTATGGAAATTGGTATGGAGATTCCTCAAAAAACTGAAACTAGAAGTACCACTTGAACTAGATATTTCCACTTTAGGTATCTTCTGAAAAGAGTTAAAGACATCATCTTACAGTGATGCATGCATACCTATGTTTATAGCAGTACAATTCACAGTAGCTTAATCTTGGAAGTGGCCTATATGTCCAGCAACAAATGAATGGATGAAGAAAATGTATTTATACACAATGGACTGCTACCTGCCTAAATGAAGATAACCATGAGTTATTTGTAGGAAAATGGATGCAGTTCAAGACCATAATATTAAGTGAAATAAATCATACACAGAAGCTTTAATGTTGCCTGGTTTCCTCTCATATGAGAAACACAAATTGTAAGTAAAGACCAAAATAAAAGATAGATAATAGGAAGTAGGGAGATAGATCTTTCTCAGCAGGGAAAGGGATCAAGACATGGAGGGAAGGGGGATGGAGAAGGAAAGGGGATGAAAAAAGGAAGGAAGATGTGCTGTGTACATTCCACAAAAGGAATGTAAACATTATATACTGCAAATATGTACTAATAAAAATTTTTTTAAAAGAAATGCAAAAGGTAGTTACAAGTTTGAGCTGCCGGCAAGAAAGACAGGGTTGAGGGGTGTCAGGATGATGGTAGGTGGAACAAACAGTATTTTTGGAGAAACATGTAACTTCTTTATTGAGCAATTTAACTTAGCTACAGTTCTTTTACCCACATGTCCAAAGGATTATAACTATAATGAAACTCCAGTTAAGGAGCATTGGCAGTGCAATTGTTAATGGTGATACGTCAACTTGACTTTAGGAAGAACTGCCTAGCAGACTCGTGAAGCTATGGCTGTGGCTGTGGATGGATCAACACTGCAAACTGACCAGGAAAGACCCACCTCGGATGTGGGTGGCATCAAGCAATAGGCTTCTAGCTTGGATGGAATTAAAATAGGAAGGAAGTAGTGCTTCCCTTTCTGGAGGAGCTCCAGTCTTCACCATTGCCTTGGATGTTGGTCTCCAGTTCCTTTTGTCTTCTAGTGCAGACTTTCCAGCCTTCCAACACAGACTCACGCCAGTGACTGTGCAGTGAGCTTCCAGGCTTTGACCCCTGACTGCTATTGGATCCTCCAGCTCTCTAGCATGCCAATGGCCATTTGGGATTCTTCTGCCTCTGACTGGGCAGACAACCACTGGGACTCTGCTACTTCTGATCTTGTAGGCCTACCTAATAAATCACTTATATAATCATACATGTATTTTATATTGATCTGTTCCTCTAAGGAACCCTAACTAATGCACGCTAGAAGGAGTCAAGGGGAGGGACATAGAGAAAACCCTGAAGAACACTGACCTGTAAGGAACAAGAGAAAGAAAGGGATCCTGCCCCAAGAACAAGGAAGACCAACTAGAAGGTGAGGAGGAGGAGATCCATGTGCTAAAGGTATGGAAAGCCAAAGTGGTTCAGCCATGTCAGCCATGAAAAGATGAAGGAGTCATGGAATTAAGGAACAGCAGATGGGACAAACCCCCTGGATACACATTGGTTGGCCTTTTCTTCCTCATTGACCCAGTCTACTCCTTACTTTAGGACTTCAATGCCACACGCAGGCTTGTGATCCCTGATGTAATACAGTATCACCAAAATTCTTCTGTGGAGCACCACATAGCAACTATTTTAGGCTCTAATGGGATACAGTCACTGTTGCAACTACCTAACTCTGCCTCTGTAACACAAGAGGTGCTGTAGATGGTAAGCAAATGAAGGGATGCAACTATGTTCCAGGACATCCTTATTTACAAAATCAGGCTGAGATTGGACATGGCCCACAGGCAGTAGTAGTTTGAGGAACTCTTAAATAATGTATTCTCCAAGGGACTGAGGGTCAGGGAAAGGGGCAGGGGCAGGGGAAGTAAGAAAGATATCTCAGGAATTCATACCAAATACCCACAATGAATGTAAACATTAATTGTTGTAAACATGAACTAAAAATAATAACAGTAATGAAACTGGGGGTTGGGTGTAGAGATGGAAGGAGGGTGGTGGGTAGGGATGGGAAGGGGAATAAAAAAAGAATCAAGATGTATTATGTACATGTACTTATTCCCTAAGATGCAAACTTTATGTACAGCAATCATGCATTAATAAAACAAGAAAATAAATAATTCTTGACCCTAAGAATTGAAGAG